TGCCTGCCATAGAGTACATATTCAGAAATAGCTCCGAACTCTCAAAGAACCTAAACCAAAAAATCATTCGCCTCCAACTTGTCATCATATAAGCATAATATATCCATATACATTTGACATATCAAAGGTACACTTCCAAGTCTTCCTTCACGTGTTCAAGTGAAGATAGCCTATCTAAAAGCACTTACCGGAAAAGAAAAAAATAGGCCTATCAAATTATCCTTGAAAATTGGTCATGATGCCTGGAAATTCATGCTATTTATCCACTTGAAAAACTTATTGAAATAATTTATAATGTGGAAGCCAATCACAGCCAAACCGATACATCATAACTGCCACCCCTTCCCCACCCCCCGGTCAGCAATCTTCTGGCTCCCAAACCAGCACAGCAAGCAGAATGCTACAAAAGAATCCTCCTTTGACTGTTTCAAGACCCCATACAGAGCAAAAATTTTCAAAGAAGAAAACTGATGAAGTCTACTCAATAGCATTACTGACTAGACAACTGCCAACTGCATCAAATATTTCCATGATTCCATCCACATCCAGAAAGTCAAGCAGTGATCCTAATATCACAAGCAACAACAGGGATTGAATTTCTCACCCGCATTCAGAATTTGGGAGACTGATTACTTTGAAATGGGCCAAACAAACTGATCACAAACCACCATATAAGATCTAAAGGCTCAAAACCCTTATAAACCTCAACAATCCTCTCTGAATTAAGTTGATTTGTTCAAAGCTTAGCTCACTATAACTTCTTCCCTCTCTAGTGCCCTTTACAAATCCAATCATCCGTATCTAAAGCAGCAATCCAATAATCACATAAGCTTGAAATATGAACCAAAACAAAGCATAAACATAAAACCAGAGATCAGACAACTATCAAACAAGTGTTCACTCACCATTAAACTACAGATCATACCTCACATCAGATTAACAAAATCCTGATTAACCAAAATTAAGACACACCCAACTCACAATAACACCACCTAAGCTCAGATCAACATTTAAGATTCTGAATTACAACTGAAATTAACACGAAGAGATCACTGCACCATTACAAAAGAAGGATCTGATAATTACCAAAGCGATCAGAGAATCGCAGATGATGCAGTGGAATATGCGTACGTCGAAGGATGCTTTGTTTCTCTCTCTCTCTCTCTCTGGAGGTTGATGATGATGAGTTGTGGTTTTAGAGGGAAAAGGGTGGCAAAAAAGCGTATGAAGAGACGAAGCGAGTATGCAGAGCTGGCAAATATATATATATATATAGAGAGAGAGAGAGAGGGAAAAAAGAAAGAGAAATAGAGGTACTGAAAAGAATGTGAATAGTTCCTGTTCTGTTTTTCTCTCTCTAACTTTTTAGGCTTCTGAGATTTGAAGATGATAAATGTAATTCTGACAATGTATATACAGATATGAAGAGAGGGAGGTATATACCACTTCAAGAGAGAGAGGACGCCATGGGGTCCCTGATGGATGGAGTGGGAGAGACTCAGAGAGAGAGATTTGGAAGGTGATGAGTTGGCGAGAAAGGTCGTTATTTTAAAAAGGTTTAATCTTATTTTACACCCGAAAGAAAAAGAGGAGCGAGTGAGTGTAAGTGTTTCGGATATAAAAGAGGAGGTATGTTATATTTTTGTTTGCAATCAATTTAATACCAATTTTTATATAAAAAATAAGTTTCATTATTCATTCAGAGGTTAACCCTATTGTGTATAACTCGTATAAGACATCACTAATATGTGATTTTACATATAAGTTAATTCTAGAAATACTTATAACTCACGTGTTTTAATTTATGATATAAAATTAAACGACAGTCTAGAGGAGATCTATATTGTTACCAATTTATAACATTGAGGGTATAAATTGAAAATTTTTTTAAGATACAAATTGAGAATCGAAGCAGCTTTTTAGGGTGTGAAGTGATTAGTCCTTTTAAAAAGAACAATTTTATTGAGACATAATTTAAGAACTTAATTTGGAGACTTAATGTGACCATCGAATTTTCAGTAGAGCTCAACATTAAATACATTTCACTATCAATCCAATAATTTTAATGCATTTTTTCTTCTTTAGCGTGATTTTAATGCATTAAGTTCTCAAATTATGTGCATAAATTACGCCTCAATAACATTAATGTTTAAATTTTTTTGGGAGAATTATACTTTGCACCTTAAAATATTTAAAAATTCTCACTTTAAACCCTCAAATAATAAATTTATCACATTACATCCTCAATATATCAAAAGTGTTACAAATATTTTTCTTTTAGTAGATTCTATTATTTTTCGTTAGTGTCAATGAGGTGATTTTTGACAAAAAAAATAATAAAAACTAATAGAATGACACATTGTAACATTTTTGATACATTTGACGGTATAATGTATAAAAAATTATTTTTATAAGTACAAAGTAAACTACTTTAAATTTTTTTGGATACAAAATGTAATTCACCCAAAAAATTTTAAGGCAAAGATCCGGTGATGCCATTAGTCCATAAGGGGTGGTACCGGTCATGTTGGCTTTTCCTTGTATTTTGGATTTTTCTTATTTTCTTCTTTATTTTGTTTATAGTTTTATACACAAATTACGTGATATTGTAAAAATAATAAATATTATCAAACCCACTTTTATTTTATTTTATTATTTTTCATAACAGCTTCCTAAATAAAAATTCAATTTTTGAATTTAATAATGACTATTTCTCAACAGTCATTTTTTTATTTATTTCAGATATAAATATATTATTTCAATAATCATCTTTATAGTATATTATTAAATGTTTCGTGCCAAAAATATTAACTTTCAATTCTTTTCATCTTCTTCTTCTATCGGATAAGTTTTCTAGGCAAATTAAAAAAGTATGACGTGAAGCTTCTACTTAGGGCTGTTAAAATTTGATACGACATGATTAACTGATACGAATCGATATAAATTAAGCATATTTTGGTGAGATTTAAACGGGCTTGGGTGATAAACGGGTTGACACACCAGACACGTTTAATAACAGGTCGTGTTCGGATGAGACATGTCAAACCGTTTATCATACATTTATTCGTTTAAATAAAATTAATATAATAATAAATTAATAATTATTTAAAAAAATTAGTAAGAAAAAAAGAAGTAAATAAATCAATAAAAAAAAAGAAGTAAGAAAATCAATTAAAAAAAAAGAAATAAAATAGTATTTCAAAGACAAATGAGAAGAGATGAGGAGCACTTCAAAGACAAAGGCAAATCACGACATGTAACCGTTTAATCTGACACGATTGACACCCCCCTCTTCTATTTCATTCAATTGTGCAGATCAGAGTGAAATTACAATCAATTAAGTTTAACTGTTGTATCCCGAGAACGACGCGTAATAACTTTCTACATCGTATTTCTTCTACAAAAGGGCATAAATTATCTTACAAAAACGATCTAGTCCGTACTTCAATCAACTGTTCACTTTATTTTTTAAATTCGTATTTCAAATTAATTATAAATACATTAAGCAAATTTTGACACAAAAAACAAAATTAGATACAACAACGGGCATGATATGGGTCACTTCGAGCCCTAATCATACACATCCGTCAGAATTATATTCAAGTGAACAATCATGTGACAACTGTTTCAGCCAGTAAACAAACAGAATAAGAATTAACCAAGTCCTATATAATTCAGCGTTGCGCAAAATTTACCAATGTTGATGGGAAAGGGCAATAGCGTACCAAAAATTACAATTTTTTAACACTAAGTTCTAATTTTTTTTAAGTGTAAATTATTACTTTAAAAGACATGAATAATCATAAAAAATTGAAATTGATATCGAAAGTTCATGATCGATCATGAATATTTGTAATCGATCATTACCTTTCCTAAGTAGTTGTAACTTCTCATTTCAAAGTTGTTACTTTACCATAAAACCGTTGCCAAAAAAAAAAAATTCAGTGATGTAAACTTTCCCGTGTGTGGATATTGGATTCGTTTTGCCTCACAAATTAGCTTTTAACTGATTAAACCTTCAAAATAAGGGAATAAAAAACCAAAAGAATCACAATAATGATAGCAATTAGCAAACCAAAAATTACAAAGCAACTAAACATCCTAGTGAAATAGCAATTATCCTTATTACATCATTCAGAATACAAGGAAATTAAGGAATAACACATTTACAGCAATATTACAACAAGTGCAAGAATTGTAAATAACAGATGGACAAGATGTGAGCAAAAAACTTGACAGTTGACTAAAGTCCCCTCGCGGGGGGGGGGGGGGGGGGGAACTAATTAAGAAGAGATATATGAACCACGCATTATCTGAACGTACACAAACTCGACTATTTATCTAAACGTGAATACACGTTCCCAACAAGTCCACCCAACTATATGAACCAGAAGGAATGGACTTTGTATGGTGAAAGCATATTTAACCCTCTTGCCAACCTCTAAAGCAGCAAATGGTCTTTTTTGTGCTGTCCCACCTCTATGCACATAAAGCACCAATTCACCTATATCCTTCTCCTCAAGTTGTCCGCTATCAACATAGTTTTCTGAGCAGGCACTTGAAAGAGTGAGCCTCTCCTTTGCTGACACGAATGCAGATCTCCCACTTTAGGTGCTACCAAGCATCCTCCACACCACCTCAAGAAACATTTCAAAGTTTTTCTTTTTGGTTAGTAAACTTGAAAGTTTAAATTGGCAACTATATTCTATTCTTTGTGAGATGTTGTACTCTAAGATCAAGGCATGTATGCCTTATTAAGTAAAAAATTCAAAGGAAAATTTCAAATAATAGTGTGGTGGCATTAAACAACCAGCGATAGACATCCACTTCTCCCATTTGAAAAGGGTGGCAAATTATGCACGTTTTGGAACATAAATCTACATAGAAACACATAAAAGTCTCCTGAACACAAATCAGAGCAGAAATATATTGCTATGGACCAGCAAAACCAAAATCCAATACAAATGCACCAAATGATATTATATCGAATAGGAATTCACCTAACCAGGCAATTCGCTTTTCACATTCTTCTTCTCATCCACCCTACCCTTCTTAAACAACCTTGGCCTTGCCTTCATGGGCTTCAGAAAACAAGCTTGAAACCTCACCATAGCTCTTAAAACCTCAACCATCCTCAACTCAATCACATCCCCGTTCGACTCGAGAACCCGTAGACACCGTGCCACAGCCTCCATTGTACTCATACACCCAATAAATGGTTCCTTCCTAAGAATCAAATCTGAATCAAATATTGTCCCACCATGAACCCCGACGTCATAATTTAAACAAACCTGAATAGCAAACTTTGATAGAAATGGTACACTTGCATGTACCATCTCTTTGGCATGCTTCCAAGTCCCATCAAAAGCAATCAAAACGTGATTATTTAAATTAGCATCACCAAATGAATATTTCCACTGATTTATCTCCACTGAAGGCAATGTCCCCGTACCTGAAAAGTGATAAACTAATGAGTCATACATATAGGGCCATGAAAACACAAAAACAGGAACCCCTCACAATCAATTCAACATGAAGAAGTATATGCACAACATCTAACAAATTAATATTTCATCAAATAACTTTTGAAGAGCTCTCAACTGGCGAATGAATATATGGCTACAAATCAGCCAAGTCTCAAGACAATTAGCATGATGCTCAATATAAGTTGGAAAAATGGAAAGCACCAAACTATGATGATTATTACTCAGTAGTTGTCTTTCAAGTGATCTCGATTGTTCTTTGAGCCAGTCTAGGCTGAAGCTTGAGTGTTAAGGAATTTTGTGACAAGCAATCATGAATTTACCAATCGGATGAGCTCAACTCGAAATAATTAGGAGCTGCAAGAAAGAATCAAACATACAGTTTTTCTTTATATTATCTCAAACCACGTATAGAGAACCTAAAGGCATGTTGACTAACAGCACATTACTACGATATCTCCCATAAACTTCTTATTGTTTAATAAAATTATACTGGACTTATCCTTTTTCCTACCGGTGACCAAAACACTCAATTTTGTGAAGCCAGCCTTTGAATGTTAATGCATACAACTGATTTTTTTTTTTTTCATTTTTTTACATCATTTGACCAATTTAATTGAATGACAGCTAATCTTCCATAGTCCAAACTAATGAAACAGAAATGAAACTAGCCTAGTTATTATAATCCTAACTCGAATCCAAACTTACATAAAATTTTCACAAGATTTCAAAGAATTCCAGAATGAATGAATTAAGTCAATTTCTTTCTGAAAAAGTTCTCGAAAGAATTCCAACACTTCCACATTTGTGCATATTTGGGGTGTTTTAACTGCTTGACTTAATAGAAACTAGTGACAGGTTTCAATTTTAAATCATTTGGCCAGATTTCCATTGAATTCGATCAAAAACATCCACATAGTCCACCATTATTCAATTACAAAACTGATTACTGGCCCATTTTCCGAAATCCCAGTTTCTACAAATAAAAAAAATAAATAAATTCTGTGAGCACTGTATGAAGTGTGTGTTAATCTTTCAACTATATGAAAGATAAAGAAGATGTCGTACCCGGAAAGAGAAAGAGAGCACGAAGCGGTTCATTAGGCTTTTCAATCGCATCAGTATATAGAGAATCCAGAATACTTGAATCACCATAACTTAACCTACGTCCAATTATGATTTCGCAGTTCCACAAACATTTTTGGAGCACAGGTACTGTGGCGAGCTTGTGGCGTCTTTCGTGAGGGTGGTGTAGAATAACCACTTGGGTGCATGTTGAAATGGGCTCGGTTGGGATGGTCTTGCACAGGCACACGTTTATCGGTCTGTCACAGCCTCTAGTGCATATTTTCCGCAGTGTGTGGTGGTTGTCACTGGCGGTCGTGGTGGCTGTGGCGTCTAAGTCGAAGAGGTCGAGGTTTGCTATGAGGTCTGATAGTTCCGCCATGAAATTGGGCAAGCTACGGTGTCGTTTTCTTGTAGAGGTTAGCGGAGCTCTTAATAAATGGAGGTAGCCCTGCAGGAAAAAAAGAAAAATTTATACCATAGTTTTAAAACCCGACTGAGACATCAACCTGACAAATTGATAGGGTCAATGGGTCATTGGTTCAATAGTTGGGTTGTTGGACTGGTAAAATAATAAAAAATAATTATAAATTATAAATTATAATAAATAGGCTAAAAAATAACAATAATTATAAAAATTGCATCTAAAATGTAAAGTTAAGTAAAAAAAATTATTCAACATGTATCCAAAATTCCAAATTCCAATGCATTCAATTTCCAATACAACTTGTAAAGTTAAGTAGAGAAAAATACCTCTATTTAAGTTCAAGACGCAAATTCCAACTTCCAAGAGCTAGTTGGTGTAAATTGAGATTCAATTGATGTTCCGGAGGAAGACATTCTAATATGAGCATCCAAAACCAAAAACCCACAATTAAACCCCATAACACACCAACTTTAAACTTTTAAAGTATGAACTATGATACATAATGCAACATCATCTCATAATTTCACAGCATCAAAAACCACCATATATCTAGATTCAATTTCAAACTTAAAAATTTCTAGCTTCAATAACATCCCAACAATATTAAAAATAGAGTTTCAAGCTCTTACATCAACAAATGAAAATAATCAAAAACCAATGCATGAAAGACCACCATAAATATGCTCAATTTGCTAAATCTGCTCGAGCTCAACTCGCAACCGTAAGCAAAATAAAAGAAAAAAAAAAAGAAAAACTTGCCCTAATTTGCTCAATTGATCAAACAATATGCTCTTAACTATTTATAATCACAGGTTGTAAATTGTAATCACATGTTGTAAATTGTAATATAATTTATTTGATTCTATATACTTAACTATTATATTGCATGTTTGCTCATAATATTATCAAAGATTCAATGTATAAAGAGAGAGACCGACAGCTAGAGAGTACTCAGAGTAGAGACTAGAGAGAGAGACCGACAGAGAGAATCAAAAATATAATTTTTTTGATCAATTGGGGCATGTACATCAAAAATCATCAAATATCAAAAATCAAAAATATTTTTTTTGCCGATTAGGGCATGTACTGTGTACATGTTAGAGACTACTCAGAGTGGAGAGAGACCGAACGAGAGAGAGAGTATGTAATGTACTACCTGCTGCTGGTCGTCGATGCTTCGATGGGATGGAGCTTTGAAGCAGTCTTCGTCCCTTACTTGCACGCAGCGGCACAGAGAGAGAACTGAGACTGAGAGACTGAAACAGAGAGAGAGAGAGAGAGAGAGAGACTGGGCTGAGAGGATCGTCGACTGGTGCGAAGAGGCAGAGGCTCACTGCTCGCCGGTCTTCGTCTTTCGTTCGACTTGTTAGAGATCTACTGATTTTGGGCAAAATACCCTTAACTTTGCCTTTTGGGGCAAATTAGACCTAGAACTTTCTCGCTTAATTATACAGATCCACTTGTCATTGCCCGTACATGTTGCTTATAAAATTTTAACACACATAGCATGTTTGAATAATTTCAACACACAATAATTAGATTGATTTTAAATATTTTTTGTTGGTATAATTAGTATCTAATTTTTTTCGTATTAGTCACTTATTTTTTTTTAATTACTGATTAACTTGGACTTTGAATTTTATTTTAATTTTCTGAGAACTATAGAATTTCATACAGTAATGATTTATTTTTAGTATGAATAATAACTTGATGATTTTATTTATGAATTATAAAGACAATTTAAACTTCATTGATTGATAAGACGTAAGAAGTAAGAAGTAAACATTAACCATTGATACTAAGATGCGTGATAAGAATATTTACTTATAGTATACTTTAAGTATGAATCAGTTTGTAATAAAAAGAATGAAAAATTATACAGTTAGTATATAATGTTTTTTAATGAAACACAATACCAAAGGTTTTGAAAAAATTGATATACTAAATAACTTACATGTCCAAAAAGTGTGACATTGTCCATTTAAGTACTGATTTTTGTGTTATAGTGATGATGAGTATGCGGTTATTGGGGTGAAATGTCAAACTTTCAAACTTTGAAGAAGAAGCACTAAAATTAGAGATACATTTTTAACATATAACATTTAGATCATTTAATTTAAAATGAATTCAATCTGAATTGTTATTATATTTTTTCAAATTTAAGATAGAAATGTATAAGAGATAGGAGTGTAGAGTCTTATGATAAGAGACTTATTCATGGGCGGGAAAAAAAATTCATGACTAACTGTAAACCGTTAGATCAAAATTTTTGAGATGATCTGAACCGTCTTTTATGTTGGGATTATGTTGTCCGTTGGATGTGTTTATGTTTTGTCTCAAAACAATTTGAACTTCTCTTTGTCTTTTGGATTCAAACTTCATTTTATTTTATTATATAGATATACTAGTCATTACTCGTGCTTGAATGTACTATACAACAAACAAATTTTTTTTAAACAATTGTCCAAATTCAAAAAAAATGGCTTAAAAATATTTATACAAAATTTTCTTTTAAAATGACTAAAAATATATTGTCGATTATATCCTCCATATTAATGGAACTATTATAAAAATATATAAAAACCCTCCAAAATAACACCATATATACAAATGCCTATGAAAAAAAAATACTAATATAATTTATTAAAATTTACAATCTTTAAGTAATAAATTAAATAAATAAAATCTTACTCATTTATAAGACTCACGAATTATCACATCTGCTATCACTTCATCCAATAACACAACATAATTATCAACTCAACTACCATATTTATAATTTACCCTATCTCCATGTAATAAATACCTCAAACAAAAAAAAAATATTAATAGAATACAATTAAATTCACAATCTTTAAACGGTAAATAAAATCAACTAAATTTTGCTCATTTATAAACTCATAAATTTATCATCACTATCACCATTCAACCCCAAAATGACACAATATAATTATAAATTTAATTACTAAATGTTCAATCTTTCACATATAAATATATACAAAAACACGCTCACACATTTATTTTTTGGTTACTAACAAACCCTTATAACCAATAATTGCTTTTATTAGAAATACAACAATTTAAGTTTTTAAGGTAAAATAATAATATATTAATGTTTAATTAAAAAAAAGGGAAAAAAACTACTAAAAATCATAGATATTCCCTAAATTTTGAAAATATTACACAAATACCTCATGATATTTTATAAATAACACAAAGACCCCTTGAGATTTGTTATTCATTACACGGAGACCCCCTCTGTCTCCCTTTCGTCAATATTGCAATCGAAAATTGATAATTTTATCCTAAAAAATTTTATTATTTTTACATTTGCCATTCTCCAAATTTAGTACCAAAAAAATTAAAAATTTAATAAAATAAAATAAAATAAAATTTGATTTAGTACTCAAAAAATTGATATAATTTAGTACTCAAAAAATTTGATTAAATAAATCTTAATATTAATTTGATATTCGATAAAGTTGAATATAATTAGAGAAAACTAAGTGTCAATTTTTGATAAAAATATATATTAATTTACAATCTAAGGTTCATTTTATGTTAAATATTATTTGGTATTTATAGTGAATGTACTATTTTTTATTTACATTTAGTATTATTTATAAATTAAGAAGCAAGTGACAAAATACATGCAATCAGATATATAAAAATTTTGAATTAGTTTCAAGGAATAAATAATTGGATGACATGTAGTTTCATATGTTTTATAGAGTAACTAATAGCAAAAATAACACAAGATAAAAAAAAAAAGATAATAGTATGAGAGAAAGAGTATAAAATAGATAGATAGATAAAGAGAATTATACGAGAGACTTAGAGTTGTAAAAAGAATGAAAGTCTAATCATTACCATCAGATCAAAACGATCTGAGCCGCAAAAAATTGAAGATAAATAATCTAGCTACTTTTATATATATATATATATAAAGAGAGAGAGAGAGAGAGAGAGAGAGAGAGAAGATGGGATAGTGTATTTAAAACGTGTAAGAGATAAGAGATAGAGATAGAGTTATATGAGAGATAGAAGTATTAAAGTTAAGTTCAATTATGACCATCGGATCAGTATTTATGAGATGATCTGAACCTTCTTTTATGTTGGGATTACGTTATCCGTTGTCCGTTAAATATGTTTATATTTTGTCTTAAAATGATCTGAACCTTTTTTGTCTCTGGATTCAAACTCAGCTATACTTTATTATATAGATAATATTTAAAATATTATATACAGACATCTTAAAGTTTATACACTTAGTCCATGTTGTCCATGTTCGATAGTCCATCTATCAATAAATTATACCTAGACTTTTGAAGTTTGTAAGTATATAACACTTAAGTTCCTTCAAATTTAAAATATTACACTTACATCATTTATTAGTTACAAAATTTATAAAATCTATTAATGATCAAATTACCTCAATTAAAGATAGAAGATATTGTATCCATTATAATTTGACATTTTATTTAATTTTTTAATTTTATTCCAATAGACAGTATATTATATGCAAATGAGTGTTGAATTGCTTTAATATATTTATACTGATTATTATATGAAATTTATATATTTGAGTCACTTATTGACTTAGACATCGGAGAGTCGACCTTCGAAGCTCCCCTTTGGTCTCTGACTTCTTTTTTAGATTATCGAGCCCAACAAACTGACACGTAAGTCGTCTAAATTTTGATATCAATAGTATTAATTATGATTTTTAAAGAAAAAATTAAATTTTTATTTTTAATTTAATTTCAATAAATGACATAATAGAACATGAATCTTGGTTTTAAAATTTAAAATATTTGATATTCTGTCTTTAATTGTAATATTTTCTATTTAAATATAATATTAAATTTGAGGGATTTAAATATTACACGTTTACAAATTTCAGAGGGTATATGTGTAATCTACTAACAGATATACTATCTGACACTGACTATAGGGGTCTAAGTGTTTCGCATATACAAAATTTAAATGCTTTGTATGAAATACTTTAAATGTTAGGAGGTCTAAGTGATTAAGTAACAAATGTTAAAGGTATGAAATATAATTTTTCCTATACAAAATGATATGATCGGCCAGTTTGATTAAAATAGTCCGAGTGGAACGCTTCATTCGGTTTGGCCGGTTTTGACGTAGAAACGATCTAATGAGTGAATTGGCTTGGATTAGGTACTGATTCATTGAGTCAATTCAATTTGTCGGGTCAGTCGGGTTTTAAAAGACTAATTTATACCACAAAGTTATTATTTTTACAATTAAAATTATATTAATATAATTAATAATCGATCATATGATCGGTTATTAATTATTTGAATTAGTTATATCTTTAATTTTTTGAGTTTGTAAATCATAATTTAACTTTTAAAAATTAAAATTTCAATTAGTTATGAAAATTGAATTATTGAAAATTAATAATTGAATTTTAATTTATTAATATAATTCATTGTCATTGTGAAATAAGAGATGGGTTATCCACTACTTACTAAATTAATTGGAATATTCTTGAATTATATTTGAATAATGAAGATATGTCCAAGTTATTGAATTCAATTTATTTAAAATTTGTAAGGTTTAACTTATTTTTTGAATAAGATAAAATTTATTAATGTGGACAAATAAAAATAATTATATAATTTTCAAATTATTCAGGGGAGTCAAACTACTAGCAAGAATGTCATTGAGTCGTGTTGTATTAAATTTATTTCGGGTCTTAATCTTACCGAATTAACATTTATTTAACATATACCTAACCTATGAATAATCATATCTAGTCAAATTTGTGTTATTTGGTTGAGTATTATGTGTAAATCATGTTTGAGAGTTAATTCTTATCCAGTAATTTCTTTGATAAGATTATTGAGACTATTCGTCTATTATTCAAATCCATTAAAACTAGGGTAAACGACATAAATCATCCCTAAACTTTGCCTTTTGTTTTAAAGTGCACCCTAAACTTTCATTTTTTTTTTATTTTACCGCCATAACGATTTAAATCATTTTGATCAACATCTTCGATTAGATTTCAGCGTTAAATAAGGATAAAACCCTAATGGCAACTGCAGAAAGGCAAATAGTGAAGGGCATTTTCGACATTTCACCTATTGAGTAAGAGTTTAGGTGCCAAAATTCCCTTCCATTACCTCCTGGTGCTCTGCTTTATTTTACCCCGTAGACTCGATTGCTCTATCAGTTGTCTGAATCTGAACCATTTGGTCTGTTACCTATCAATTGTGATGAATTCATGAATGATTCGTAATCAGTCCTCACTCGTTGCTGACTGGGCATAACTCCCA